TCTGATCAGCTCATTTTCAGACAAGTTTTTATAGAAATGGATCAGGACAAAAAGAGAGAGAATCTTTGTTCCTGAAACTTTCAGAGTCTCTTTCTACAGAGGGGACACATGGTTATGTATAAAAGACATGATCAAGTGGATTTTGCATAATAGGTGACATTTAACAGTAAATCCAGACTTTTTAGATAAATATTTAAAAATAAGAAGTGCAACTTTTTCTCACATTCTATCCGGTACTTCTCCATCTCTTGGACTTCAGAAATAGATTCTCGCAGATCGTCAGTGAACTTTTTGCGGTCCTGAGGATTTGGTGCGTTGAAGTTGATGAGGACTTTGATGTCTGCTCCGGGAATGGCTGACGTCAGACGCACTCCGTTGGGATAATCTAAAGAGTGACGGTATCAACAATTAGCCAAACAAAATATACCTATCACCAGGAGAGTCTGTAGAAGTTAGAATTGTCTCAGAAACAGACAACACTTCTGCTATCTTTAAGAATATACAATGGCACCATAAACTCGTCAGGAACATTTTTTCCGAGGTCATACATTTAGAGAGAAATATGGTAATTTTCTCATTGACTTCTATGAAATCAGACTTGTTTTTTTAACCAGTGTCGTTGCCCCCTGCTGGCTATGCAAGGTAACTGCACTGGCTTTACTATTCAGATCCCGAAGTTGCTGATCATCATCTTTAGGAAGGTCACAAAGAGTGAATTATGGTCCTTTTTTTTGTAGACTTCTATACAATCAGACTTCAGTTTGAACCAGTTGAGTTGCCCCCTGCTGGCTATGCAACGTTATTGCACATCTGCATTGGCATCACTATTCAAACACTGAGGTTGTGGCTTGGTTCTTACCCTGCTTTGGGGCAATTCTAATAAGCATTACAAATGTTTGCCTTTACAAGTGTTTCATGCAAACTTGATCATTTCAAGCATACTGACACCTTTTAAAAGTGCTTAAGCAAAAGTCCAACCCTAACACTAACCCCATTGCACTTACACTGATTCTCAAAGATTAGCACTTGCATGCCATAAAGTGAGAAGGACTGCCGAAAGCTGTACGTCACAGAGTTCTTCTTCTTTTGGAAAATCTTAGTGACCTATGAAAAAGAACATGGCATATACAGAGGTGAGACTCTTTTCACTCCAAGTGTGTTTTCAGTGTGTTGAATGAATAATGTCTTCCTCACCACTAGCAGGTCATTGAAGAGGAAGATCTCCCGTTGGTGGACACCCAACTTTTGTGGTTTGTTAGGGTCGGGTACTTCAAAAAGTCTGCAGTAACAGACCAGTCTCCGGTGTGGTAAGGATAGCACCTGCACAAATACAGCCTCATTCCTTAGTATAAAAGTTATATACTTTATGCCTTTCAAAATGTTTGTTGTCTGCTCCATCGAGCCTTTGGGGATGTATTACAAATACCTCCACTCAACCCTAAGAAGTAGACGACAGAAAGAGAAATACTTACGCAGCCCAGACCGTGGTGCAACGAGCCAATCTATGGAGGGAGAGTCATTTTACAAGGATCAGTACACACATAATATGGAAACTTTAAAATTCACCATACATCAAAGAAAAGACATTCCACTTAATGTTCCACAAGAAAAATGGGCCAAATTTAAAATCAGGAAAACTAGTTTCATGGATCACGGGGCAAACATTTACGCATTCCTCACATTCATCTTTCAATACAGTACGTCGTGTTTCCAATGTTCGCAACGTTCTATGATCACAACTACTTCAAGGTCCCTTGGACTCCAGCCGAAGTGTGTCACCAAAGTGGAGTTAGTTTGATAAATAAGGGTATTAATGGACCTGAAACGAAGCGTATGGTTTCAAGTAAACACCTTCAAGATAATGTGGTGTGTTTATATCGTTCATTATTACAGAGCTTGTCAGACCGCACTTTTTCTCATCTGGCTATTAGGGCAAAAGACACACTACAGTCATTCAGCATGAAGGTCTCCGGCCTTGAAGAATTGATGTGTCACACAGCGGAGAAAGAAGTTTCATGTTAAGAATGCTCTTTCATTTCTTTTTCGTTTTTTAGACATTGTTGGCCATGAATAAGCCAGTGCTCTCTGCGACAGCTCAGAGGCACGTTGGGTCATTTAGTTCTGCATGCTCCTGAATGGAGGGTAAGATAAAAGTGGTCACACTCTACGTGAAGTAGCCCAAGGGCAGACTTACCGGCTTCTTCCCAACAATGAGTTTTTCCACTTTCTGGACCTGGGACATGTGGTCTTCATTAGTTTTGAGCTCTCGCTTGCGAATCCGCTCATATATCCCTACCAGCATCTCTCGGGGGATGTCTTCCCCATCATCCACCCCTGTAAGAAGAGGAGAAAAGAGAGAAAAAACAGACGGATTAATGATTAATTCAGATATTTATGAGAATTGATGAACCCCTGAGTTTACTTGCTGCAGCGTTGCACACATCTCTGACGGAACAGAAAGAAATGTCCTTCGGAGCTCTCTGAGGACGAGCATCCACTCAATGCTGTACTTTAATTACTCACACTCCACCAGGCGGAGAAATTAGTTAGCCATGCCACAAAGCCCCTGCTAATACCCTCGAAATCTGTTCAGGGCAACTCAAAAGTGTTTTTTGCCTCAACAGCAAAGCTTTTTTGGCGTTGAAAATGAAATACCTTATTGACACGGCTATTAATCAAAGCAATATGCATGCACAAAACTCCATTTAGAGTTCATATTTATCCCTGAAGCTGCATATCGGTGTCTAAAGGTAATATTGGCTTCGTGACAGTCAGCTGGATACGGTGCAGGACGAGAGGACAAAGTACACTACAAAAACTTGAAATCTAGTATATTTTCTAGTATATTTGTCGAATATCTAGTCAGAATGTGTCTCTACACCTGACATAAGACACAATAACTTCAGTAGTAACACTGCAGTGAGATATCGGGTCTTGTTTTTAGAAAATGCATCATCTTGTTAAGTCAATTTTTTCAATTTTAAAACGCATATTTTTTTAAACTGAACACTTTTGAGCATTTGCAGCTTATATTGTAACACAACATTACTGATTCTGGTCAAATATAGTTCAAAATGAGTTCTCCCAGCTAATTACAAGATTTGATTTATCTAAACATCCCTTCTTATTTCAAGAAATCTTACCAAGCTAATTTGTACTTGTCCTATTGGCAGATTGTTTTGCTTATTTCAAATGAAAACAACTTGTTTTCATTATTTTTTAACTTGTTTTTGGAGCAGCATTTTTTCCAGTGTACCTCGAAGGTTTTTCACAAAGTCCTCCAGCTTCATCTTCCTCTCAGGCTTCACGTTGGGGCTGTACATGTCGGTGTTGAGGAGGATGATGGCGAAGGCAAGGATGAAGATGGTGTCGGGGTTCCTGAACTGTCGCACCACTCCAGGGTTACAGATGCAGTAACGTTGGCTGTGAAGAGAATATCGGACACAGAAAATATAAAGGGCGAACTCTACTGAAATGGCAAGAAATACTGTATACATTACATTGTGTTGTGTACAAATGTAAATGTTTGTTTTTCATGTATTGTGTCTTGATACAGAAATATTCCCTTACACTTTTTATATTCAGGATTGTGGATCTGTACACAGAAACTGGAAGATTAACAATAAAGTTGACTTTGACTTTGATATATACAACTACATTATATAAATATTCTAAGTATTAGTATCTGAGCCAGGCTGCACAGATTACAAGAGATGCTTCACTGACTGACCTCGCAGGTTCTTAACGAAGTCCTCCAGCTTCATCTTCCTCTCCGGCTTCACGTTGGGGCTGTACATGTCGGTGTTGAGGAGGATGATGGCGAAGGCGAGGATGAAGATGGTGTCCGGGTTCTGGAAATTCCGGATCAGCACCGGGTTGCAAACACAGTACCGCTGACTGCAGAGGGGGAGGAGAGGGAGAAGAACACATCAGAACTCATGTCACATTGAATCTAGAAGGGGATTCAAACTGGGATTCAGACTCGTACCTGAAGGCCTCCACCAGCCGCTCCACCCGCTGAGCTTCGCCCTGAACTTTAATCTGAGCCTGAAACTTCCTCAGAGCGTCGTCCAGATCCATCCCCGAGAAATCCATCTCATCCAGGACACAGCTACAGATGGACACAGAGAGGAGTGTCACCCTCATGCAAGAAGCTACTTCAGAGTCACAGTCATCTTTACTGTCCCACAGTGGAAACATCAATCAATCAATGTTTATTTATATAGCCCAATATCACAAATATTACATTTGTCTGAGTGGACTTCACAGTTTGTACAGAATATCAGTATGTCAATACGACACCCTCTGTCCTTAGACCCTCACATCGTACAACGAAACACTTCCAGAGAAACCCCCACAGTTTAAAGGGGAACATGGGAGAAACCTCAGGGAGAGCAACAGAGGAGGGATCCCTCTCCCAGGACGGACAGACGTGCAATAGATGCCGTGTGTAAATTGAAAAGATAATACATTTGCAACATAGGTAGTCCAAATGTTTGGAAATGCATGTGTGTATAATAGGAAGATGAATCCACGAGGATATCCATGCAGGACTTATGATCCAGGCCACGACTCAAGATCCAGGACTCGCGATCCATGACACAGGACCGCAGGATCATCCATGACTCCGGATCCCGGCGTATACATGACATTGTTACAGCAAAGAGAACAGTACAGATAGAAGGCCAGATAAAAGAAGAAGACTTATTAAACAAAGGGATGAGCCCACGTGTAATAACGTATAAAATAATTTCACATCCAAGGTAAATAAAAAGTAGAGTAAAGCCCCTTTCTGAGACCAGCCGTCATGCAAGGTCATTTGAAGTGACATACTTGTAACTTTCTTGAGTTCGTATCTTGATGGTTTATTGCACTTATTGTCAGTCACTGCGGATAAAAGCCTCAGCTAAATGAAAGGTGATAATACTATTGTGGCACAGTGGGTTAGTGCGTTCATGTTCGGATCAGGGGGTCACAGGTTCAAACCCCACTGCAGTCAGCATGTCGTTGTGTCCCTGAGACACTTCACCCCAAATTGCTCCTGTGGGGATTGCCCACAGTGCTGAGTATGGAAGTCGCTTTGGATAAAAGCGTCTAACAAGTGACATGTGATGTAATAATATCAAGGAGCAGCATTATCAAAGTAAATACAAATAAAAGTAGCAAAGGAACGTAAGTAATAACATTAATATGTGTTCAAAGTGTTATTTCACAACCGTGGTGTTAAAATAAAACAGAAATAAGGTCGAACGTGTGAATGTCTTTAAAAGATTCAAAGAAAGCTGAACCGTGATATGCTCGATATCTACAGCACAGGTTTGTCACTGAACATCTTAAGTCCCAGGCTCTTCCAACAACGCACCATGCAACACACTTAACAGGAAAAGAAAGAAGACATAACATGATAAATAATCTGAGGGGATTTTCTTGTTGTTTATTTTCCCTTGTGATGTGTCAGTGTGAGTAAATCCCTTTGAGCTGCATGTGTTGTCTGGAAAGTGTTATTATTATTATAAACAGGTATGATGGTACTCACTCCAGGACGTCCTTGTTGAACTGCTGCCGGCTGCCCAGGAACTCTCCGATCATCTGCCGGCTCAGACCCTTCCTCTCCAGGATGAACCGGGCGATGCCGATCGGAGTGTCCGACACGAAGCCCCTCTCGATCAGGTACTGGATCCCCTTCTCCGGCTTCCTGCACACCAGAAACAACACACAGGTTGTATGTCTTAGTTTTACGACATTCAATTTATTTGCTTGTTGTGTCCATTTTTGGTCAGTTCTTAGGGCTTGTCAATTACAGGTTTTGAGGTGTTTTATAAACTGGCTAATGCACTTTTTTTTTTTTTTACAATTGTTCAGGTTTTGGACATATGGGTCATTTTAGATGTTTTGATTACATATAAAGTAGTGCTGAAGAGAACTCTACAGATTGAGTTTGATGGATTAAGGAAATAAAAGGGTGTGAAATCTATGAACACATTCTGCTTACGGAATCATTCGAATCAGAATACTTTATTTATCCTTGGAGGTATTGGATTTAATAAATAAAATAAGATGAGGGAAATACAATGAACATATAAAACATAGAAACATTTGAGTATAAGTGTGCTCAATAAATAAACCTGTAAACACATGATAAAGATGGATAGCACCAGAAGGTTGTTGCTGAAAACAGAGTATTACAAGTTTAACAATTAATGTAGAATATTGCACGAAGGAATAATTGCATAGATTTGATAGGATTACGTTCGCATTGCACAGTTTATCAGAGTAATCAAAGTGTTTGTTTATCATGCAAGACACAGGTGTATCATTTTTATTATGATAGATCGCTGCAAACACTTGTTAATAATCTGCAGAGACGTAGTCATGTGACGTACTTGTTGAACAGGTTGAGTCCGATGCGGTATTGTCTCCGCTGCACGACGTCGTTGTTGAAGGCGGGCGAGTCCCAGCTGTGCCGGCTCTCCCTCTGATAGGTCTGCTTCCCCGCAGCGCCTCCTCCCATTGGCTCCCGCAGGCTGTCGCGCGACGAGGAGCCGGAGCTGCAGTTGTTGACGGTGGTGTCGTCGTTGGAGTTGGTCGTGGTGGAGTTCACGCTCTCGTTGTCCCCGTCGGAGCACAGCAGGTGGTGGTGGTGCAGGTGGGGGTGGTGGTGCTGCTGGGCCTCCATGGAAGAGGAGAGCGGAGAGGGCGTGAGCGGGGGAGGAAGAGGGGAGAGGGGGGGCACGGGGGAGGGCAGCGGGGAAGAGGGGGGTTCTGGGTAACCGTGGTGGTGCTGGTGGTGCAGGTGGTGGTAGTGCTGCTGGGCGAAGTGGTGCTGCTGGATGTAGGGGCCGGGCACGTGATGCATGTGCATGACGTGTGGCTGGCTGTACTGCGGGTGGTGGTGCAGGATGGTGGGCAGGTGGGGGGATGGGTGAGGGGTGGGGGTGGTGCATAGGGTGGGGATGGGTGAGGGTGGGGTGAGGTGGGGAGCGGGTGGGGGGAGCGGGTGGGGGGGGGGCGCGGGCTGAAGGCATCGGTAAGGGAGCGCTGGCCGGGCTGCGGGTCTGACCCTGCGCGTGGGGACGGAGCGGCCGTTGGGCTTGTGTTTGATGGTTCCCTGAGGGGAGTCGGCCTCGCTGCTGCCTCCCCCTTCTCCCCCCGCGGCTCCTCCTCTCCGCTCTCTCCTTTCCCCGTCTCCTCTCCATCCTCTCCCTCTCCCTCTCCCCGGCGCCTCGGTCCACCCCGACGGCTCCTGTTCGTACACCAGGCGCCCGATGGAGCCTCGCTCTGACCTGAAGTGTCCAAACAATGGATCAAAACTTTATTTACACATTTCAATTATTTCACTTTTCCATTCACAGCAAGTCACAACAGGTCAATACCAATCCCGTTAACACACTTAATACCACACTTAATGTGTTAAAAACACAGAGCTCAATGAAACAACTTTTTTCAAAAATTCAATAAAAGGCCAAATTAAAAAGTTGGGTATAGAGTCTGATTGGCTGAGCTCACCTGTCACTCATGTCACTGAGCTGTCACTGGGCGGTTCGATTGTGAGAACAGGTAGATGTCCTCCTCCTCTTCCTCCTCTCCTCTTCTCCTCTCCTCCGAATTTTAGAAAACCTCTATACTCCCCTACACTCAGTGCACGGGTACTGCCCCTCCTGCTGCCTCCCTCCGTCTCGATCCTGCTGTCCTCCGGTCAGACCCCGCTCCTCCTCCTCCTCCTCGCTCCCCAGTACTCTGTGTCGGTTGCTGGAGCCGGGCGGGACAGCGTGGAGGAGGGCAGGCAGCCGTCCTCCAATGTAGAGCGTGACGTCGCTGAAGGAGGTGGGCCGTGGCGTCCTCGTGCATGGCGGCCGACTCCCTCCTTCCATGCTCCACAACCCGGCCACCCGTCCCACCACTCGTCTGGACGAGGCTGGAGTTACGCCAGCGCACTCTCTGTAATCGTCTGTCTCCTCGTCCTCCTCGTCCATCCTCCCCCTTCTTCCCTCCTCCTCTTCTTCCTTCATCCACCTCCTCTTCGTCGTCCTTCCTCGTCTCCTCCCCCTCTCCTCCCGCCTCCTGGAGTCTTCTCGTCCGACTGGCAGGTGAGGGAGTCGTCCATGGAGTCGGCCAGAGACTTCACCTTGCAGAGACAAACATCAATTCAATCCATGTCATGGCCATTTCTACGATCATAACTCCATTGTTGAGGTCTTACTAGATAGATTTACAATTGTTCAATGTTCCAAACTCACATTGGTTTCTCATACGCATCTCTGTATAGTATGAGTATTCACTCTCTGTCCTACACGGCTGTGGAGCTCCTGCCCCCCCCCCCCCTCCCTGTGAGCCCAGTGGCCGTCTGCGAGACAGCGAAACCAGCCCGAAACCCAGCACCGAACACACACACCGACTCACAGCCTGCACTGAGTGTGTGATGTGATGTGTGAGGCGAACGTCTCCGCGGACGTAACGGTCCGGGATGTCATTTGGGTACGGGCACGTTACCAGGAGAAGAAAAGAGAAATGTCCACCGAGGCGTTCTGGGGCAGCCACAGGACAGGTCTTCTTCTGTGTTAGAGTTTTTACTCCCTACAGGGGTGCACTTTGCGGGTTTGTTGACCCTGCAGACCGGTTTACTGGCAGACAAAAAACTTCATAACACACAAGGGGGACGGGTAATAACCGGACATTGGGGGAGCCTTTAAGCATTAGTTCCAAGGCTTTTATTGTAATTTGTGCCCAAAGCTAAGTGTAAGATATGCAATTGAAAATCTTAGGTCACAGGACTCCTCGCCAACAGTGCAACATAATAAAAACAGACAAAATTAGTATAAAATAGTGCAACTAATACAACACA